TGCTTAACGTATCATTAGTAGGAAAAGTGTGAAAGGTGCTGACATTTGTTTCCAATTAATAGCCTGCATTATTTTCCCTTGCATGTAATTTAATGCCAAGTAATGAGATGTAGTTTAATCATTGAAAAATATTAACTAATCTAGTTTATGAAGCGACTTGTCAAGTTGTTATCACCAATTACTGCATATTAGGACTTCAGAATATAAGTTTACAAAATTTTGGGCGCCAAATTCAATTGCGCCAAATCATCTGAAGCGAACAGCATGCAAGCGATCATGGCGTACAAACGCGTTTACTCAGACAAGCTTCATATTCTAAAAAACTGGTACGCCTACTGGTATGCCTTTATCTGTCGTAACGAAAGACGCTCTATATAAAGGCAATAAGCCATGGCCGTGGCCCAACGTGTTGGTTGACAGAAATATCAGCGAATTTGGTAAGACACTTTTTACTCATTTACATTTATTTTACAATAGTCATACACAAATATTGCTATTTTTATGTTTATTGACTCTGCAATCCAAATCGTTTCTGTATTCTATCCTTCTTACACATGTGCCAACCCCAACTCCATGCTGACGAGTCCATGAGACCATGAAGGACGAAACGCCGCGTACAGGGATATTGAATTTTACACACATGACTATCTCTTTCTCTCGCTCTATATATTTTACATGCCTCCATACAAGCTTTTTAGGACAGCGCGATCATACTCTAGCTTTGGGTCTAATCAAATATATATTTTACACCACAGGATATATTTTACCTTTACAATTTTACGCATATGCATGCATCTCCAGTTTTGTGTTTCATAAATCTACACCTGTAGGCTATTTATATTTCTTAGGTTCACATTTATACAAATACAAGTCGTTTTTTATCTTTTATCCTCAGTTTCATCTAATACAACATAATTTTCCCAGGCATACATTGATACATTGTTCCAACAACACGAGGCCATCACACTATCATATTTCACACAGCACTTTTTGATCTAACATTTAGCGATTATTCAGTGAGGCATAAAATTATTACTAGGACACCAATATGGTTCTCATTACATCTAAAGGCTTAAAAAACAGGTTATGAATATGTTCAATCTTTTCTTAAGCAGTGAAAGGTATAAATAGGAGTCTGTATTTTTCTCTGCATGCAGTACATATCCCACTATAAATCACGGCGCAACGCAAAATATAGCCTTTGCCTCAGCAGGAATACTTAGGAGTCCTTTTAGTGGAAACTCCCGTGCCAGAAAGATGTGCCATCTTTTGCTGGCAGGTTATGAAGATGCTCCATCTTTTCAACCAGTGGAAGCTAAATAGGAGTCTGTGTTATTCCTTGTATACGGTACATATTATATACTATAAAACATGGCGCAACGCAAAATATATAGCCTTTGCGATCTGCCGGAATAATTAAGAGTCCTTTTAGTGGAAACTCCTGTGCCAGAAAGATGTGCCATCTTTTGCTGGCAGGTTATGAAGATGCTCCATCTTTTCTTAACCAGTGGAAGCTAAATAGGAGTCTGTGTTATTCCTTGTAGTGATACATATTATACTATAAACCACGGCGCAACGCAAAATATATAGCCTTTGGCTTTGCCTCTGCCGGAATAATTAAGAGTCCTTTTAGTGGAAACTCCTGTGCCAGAAAGATGTGCCATCTTTTGCTGGCAGGTTATGAAGATGCTCCATCTTTTCTTAACCAGTGGAAGCTAAATAGGAGTCTGTGTTATTCCTTGTATACAGTACAGTACAGTGCATATTATACTATAAAACACGGCGCAACGCAAAATATAGCCTATATAGTTGGCTTTGCCTTTGCCGGAATAATCAAGAGTCCTTTTAGTGGAAACTCCTGTGCCAGAAAGATGTGCCATCTTTTGCTGGCAGGTTATGAAGATGCTCCATCTTTTCTTAACCAGTCGAAGCTAAATAAGGGTCTGTGTTATTCCTTGTATACACTAAATATTAGTATGTTGCACTATAAATCACGGCGCGCGCAACACAAAATACTGAGCCTTTGCTCCTTTTAAGAGTCCTTCTAGTGTGAAGACGCTTCATTTTTCTTAACCAGTGGAAGCTATTGAGAGTCTGTATTACAATTATCCCTTGAAAATTATGGAGCAAAATACGTAACGCAAATATATAGCCTTTCAAAATAAATTATCTTGTATAATTATATAATCTATTTTCCGCTCCTTGCGCGACCTTTTTCCAATGTAGGCCTATTGCAATCCGTAAGGGAAAACAAACTAATAAGAAGCTATTAATGCCATATACCTAAAGAACGCATTGCGCATCTAAACCAGACGCATCTTTTGGCGCATCTAAGCCAAAATAGCATTGTGAATTAGCTACACCTGGAGCGGTATCTATAGCGGTATCCTGTAGTGTTAGCTCTGTCAACAATCAAGCCATTTATTTGTACTAAACTGTACCTAAAATATCATATAACATATGTAGGTTAATATTCGGACTGAAATTAAACTTATTACATGTTTGATCTCACACAGTGTTTGAGCAGTTTCTCCTGGATTGATGACATCGCATAGCGTTAATTGTTGGTGGGTAAGCTGCACCCGCTTCCTGAAAAATGCAAACTCAGTTTGCAAATCCCGCTGGTTTTCAAAACGTGCGGCTCGTCATGATTCAATTTAAAGATATCTATGGAAATTTTGGAAATGTCTGCTGCTCCAGACTCCAGTCCTTCTAGTATTCACGAAACAGTTCAATCCGCATTTGTAGTGAATGATTTAGCTGTCTTACAAGACTGTTGCGCTGATCTTGGAAGGAAAATCAACGCTATAAAATATCGGAGAGTTCCATTCAGTGAGCGGTTGCTAAGCGGCGTATGCGCCACGAATAGCACAAACTACAGTTTGACTGTTTGAGTGGAAGTATTGGCGCCGAGATCTTTATTCTGAAGTGCAATAAGGTAAATTAAATGTGATATGTAAATTTTATTTCGTTTTAGACAGCATAACAATATTTATAAGCGAACAAGATGCGCGCCATGCATATGTAAAATTGTAATTTGAATACGCGTATCTTGATTTAAAGCTATGAATTTTGATTTACACAACAAATTGCATATTTTTAATTCTGCGGTTGAAGGTCCGTCAGAACTCACAAGGCTATTAATATGGAGGATAACCTATATAAATATATTAACGCAGTGTACATAGGATATAAAGGTCAGGTTTTACAGATGAATGTTATGACTTTAATATTGATATATGTTTATTTGAGTAATATGACACTGGAGTGATTACTAGTCAAGTGATCAATGACTCAACAAGGCTATTAGGCAACAAAAATGAGTGCAGTGCTATCATGAGATAGTTATTTTAAACATAATACTAGCAATCCGTAATTTGATAAAATGAAACATCTTGCACAATTATCACATTTCTGCAAGTACTTCTCCTTTACTTTTCCCTAAGGAGCGAGTTGTGAGAGTCAGTCAGACTGATAGTTGCTATATTTGTCTCCCATTTCATGAAGTTAATTGTCGAAGCTGCTTTCAGAGTGATGCAAATTGCGTTTCGGAGGTTTAAAAATATAAAAATTCCTGGGGAACAGACCCTCCTAGGTGCCTTGCGCATTCGCCGCCCGCAAAACTAGATTGTACATCCGAAAACTTTGACTAACGTACGAAAAATCCTGGATCCGCCCCTGCTACTGCACTAATAGACAAATTAATAAATTTGACTGTTTCGAAATGGTTTTTCTGCTCCGTAATTAGATCCTTGTATCCTTCCCTTTTGCGCCCATGTTATTTGGAGATTGGATTCATATCCACCAGAGAGTTCAAGTATGTACAAACAATCATTTGAAATCGAAAGAAGCAGATCTGGGCGATAAGTGTCACCGGTTATTATTGATGGGCTCTTGTATCCAGGAAGATCAACAAATATAATAGTGTGGAGTTGTGGTCAGGTTGGAGTATTTTTGCGATAAAATTGAGAATGGAGTCATGTCTCCAAGTAAATCGTGGAAGGTATGATTGGCATCCCGCGACTACATGCAGAAGGGTTTCAGGATTCAGGCAGAGGGACAATCCGAGTTTGACATTATGCCCCATTTTGTAAGGTTTTTGCGTGTGGCAAGAGTGTTGTTGATGTAACGAATGGTGAAGTTATAGACGCTTTTTGGCAAGCTGGATTGAGATTTGGACCATAGGTTGTTTAGTGTAGACAACGAGAACTTGGTGATGTTGGAGGAAAAGGAGCCTTAGAGAAGCAAATATTAATAATGAAAACTTTTTTTTAATTTTTTTTTTGCACTTACAATTGAAAATCTCACTGTTAAAGGTAATTTACAATTGGCTACTTGATACGCTATATATTACTACATTTACATAACACATGGACATAATTATATGATACGAAAAGTAAGAGACTAACTAAAAGTTCATTAAATCTGGATTCGACCAATCCTTGTTTCTAGAACAGAAAACGTAATATGTCGTTCTTATTGCAATGTTGATGATTTTCCTAATGATATATTTAACACCGGCCTTATCTGAGTTCAAATGTTCCAACATTTGTATGAAATGTGAAGATTCTTTTTCAAAAACACCGAGTGCACTGATTGAGAGGTTAATGAACTTTACCGGCCGGAATTTTTTCTTTTGTTCTACGATCATCTCTTTATATTTTGAATATTTGCGCTGTATATTATTCCTAAGGTTAGTCTCATATCCAACGGTTAGTTCGAGTACATACAGACAATTGTCTTTGGTCAAAATTAGTAGATCAGGACGATGGTCATCACCAGTAATAATAGAGGGGTTAGGGAATGACGGTAAGTCAGCATAAATGGTCTGAATATGTTCTGATGGAAGGCTATTAGCAATAAAATTTAGGATTGAGTCGTGTCTCCAAGTAAATCGATCAAGATAGGAACTACAGCCAGCAACAACGTGTAACAGAGATTCAGGTTTAAGGCAAAACGAGCACTCCGAGGACGAGGATAGTCCCCATTTTTGAAGGTTTTTACGGGTTGGTAGCGAATTGTTTATGTAGCGAATAGTGAAGTTGAAAATGTTTTTTGGTAGTTTGGATTGACAGGTTGGCCAAATCGAATTTACTTGGGGGTAGTAAAAATTTTGAGATGCTGGACAAGAATGAACCTTGACATTTTAACCGATTTTCCAATTTATCTTCATGAACTTCACGGAATGACTTGATTACTTCTTTTGTCGACGTATACTGATCATATTGGGTGTTAGTATGATTACAGGTCGATTTCCAGAGGTGGGTTATTGATTCATTAGGAGATGACTTCAAAGCACTGCGGATAGTTGTTTGACATTGTATGAATTTAGTTGATGGGGGGATAATGTTCAGACCAAATTTGTTACTGGTTAGGTAAATGTTACTGAGTGATCCAGAAATAGGTACCTCAAGCCATTTACGAATGTATTGTTTGAAAACTGAGTCCAGGTTTTCAGAAATCCACGTTTTTTGAATTGATGTTATAGTGAAATGCCATGACAGTTTTGAAAGAACGTAGCGACTGTAGAGGAGAATCTTGTTTTTCGGATGTAATGGCTTCGAATCTATTTCTTTCATTAGGTCTGTCAATAGGGAGACTAATTCTGATTTATGTTCATTGTTTGTCATTTCGTAATCAAAGTACCTTCCTAAATAGCAGAATGATTTTCCACTTTCAACAGTTGGAATAATAGATTTGTTAATGATTAACTTAGGGAGGTATTGAATTGAATTGGTGAGAGCTTTTTTGATGCCGAAGTTGCTACATTTATCTACTCGAATAATCATGTCTGACCATTGACACCAAATTGCAAAACGATTTAGTAAGTGTTGATTTTCAGATTCTTGGCCGGTTATTACGGCTGCGTCGTCGGCGAACTGGAACCAATGAATTGGGTTGAGAAGTTTATAAGAAAAACCAAACTGTTGATATTTCTCCGATTTTATGGGCTGGATAAAAGTATTAAAGCATAGGTTAAATAGTAATGGACTGAGGCAATCTCCCTGCAAAACTCCACGACCTACTTCTACAAATGGGGTGTTAAAGTCAGATGTGATGATTGATGTTTTAAAGTTTGTGTAAAGGCTTTTAATCATGAGTTGAATATGTTGAGGTATGTGATGATAGCCAAGAACAGATTGGATTAAATTGTGATGTACTTCACCAAACGCATTCTTGAGATCAAGAAGGGTTATAACGAGAGATCGCTGTCTTATTCGTGCTTGATTGATTATATAAGCCATTTGTGCTGTATGTTCAAATGTCCCCGATATATGAGGGGTGAAGCCCTTTTGAATTTCGTGCTCGATAAAGTTATTGGCGAGTAGGTAAGAGAACATTGCATTACGGAGACTTGAAGTGAATACTTTCAGTGGTACGGATTGAAGAGTTATTGGACGGAAGTTCTCGGGGAGATTAGCATCATTTTTCTTGTGGATTAATATAGTACAAGCTTTCTTCCATTCGTCAGGTACAGATCCGGAAAGCCAGACTGCTTGAATTAGTTCGGTTAAATATGTTCGGAGGTATGGGCAACGCTTAAAACTTATAATGGAGATTTGATCTAGAGGACAAGGTGAGCCAGATGTTTTCATTTTACGAATAATGTTTGTTATTTGTCGGTAAGTTGGAGGTTCAAGGTCAAATTCAATAATGGGATCGTGTAACATTGGAATCGAACTTGGAATTTGAAATATTTTGTTTGGGTTGACCTTAGTCAAGACTGTCTTAAAGTACTTTAAATTATCCAACTCTGATCTTGCCGAAATTAGATATGTCTCTCGTCTCGTGCGAAATAAGCTCAAATCTAACACAACTAAATATAACATGCATAATGAGTCGTTTAACCACGATAAATACTTTGAACGTAATTTCTGGGGATATGTGAAGAAAATCATAAATTGCAGCGAATCGATTCTCCCTGCCTTCAATATGGACGACTGTTTAAGTAGTTTCAATGCTTTCTTCAAGTCCTTTATGCTGTGATTCTTGTATTTATCATTGAGTAATTTATCCGGCAGACGTTCCACAAACCCGAAGTTTCCAGCAAAGTAGGTGTAAATGGTGTCATTTAGTAGTTTAATTGATGTATTTAAATCGTCACTTGTGACTGGTGGATTAGACATTAGTGAAAATTTAAAATGTTCGTTAGCCGTTAGCCATTCTGAACTGGTTTTAGGAAGATTTATACCGTTTTTTAACTCAGGATATTCTTCCTCCTGGTTAGTATTGTAGACTGAGGTGGTGTCAATATCATCTAGGTCTCCAGCACAGTTGTTGTTGCTTTCTTCCTGTTCAAATACATTTTCTAATAGCTCTTTATTTAGACCCATGGTGACCTGACAACTACGTTGATGCATTTTTAAACCTCGAGCTCCTTTACAAACCTTTCCGCAACAACACTTTGTTCCCGACTTTTTAACAGCGGCTGTAGTTGGTGGAGTGATGACGGGCTCCGCATTTATTCCATGTGATGCAGAATGGTTAGTCCCGTTAGAATAAGCATTTGAATTACGATCATTAATCTTGTTATTACAACGCCATTCATGTCGACCAAGGGACACAAAATCCTTTTCACAAAATGAACATATAACACAGGACAAAAGTAAACAAATGAAGCTTGAACGGATCATAATTAATATTAATGAATCCAAAAGTCGCAGATTGTAGATCAAGTAAGAATATTTCGATTAAACTTCAAACATGTGCAAAGCACGACCTGCTCAGCTCGATGTCTAATAATAATAATAATAATAATAATAATAATAATAATAATAATAATAATAATAATAATAATAATAATAATAATAATAATAATAATAATAATAATAATAATAATGATAATAATAATAATAATAATAATAATAATAATAATAATAATAATGGAAACTTTATTACTTTCAATAATATATATATATATATATATATATATATATATATATATATATATATATATATATATATATATATATATATATATATATATATATATATATATATATATATATATATATATATATATACATATATATATACCGGGTGGCCCAAAAAAAAGTACTCCTGTTTGATTCGTAATAACATCTAAACAAGTATAGCTTTTAAAGAGAAATAACTTGCATCAAATAAAGGAAGGACTAACTTAGACTTTGATATATTACAGTTGTATTTCACTTAAAAATTCACGGAGATATTAATCTTTAAATTCGGGAGGATATTTCTGGATGTGTCTGAAATATGCAAAAATCGGCGTATCAAATATTAATCAAGATTTGCCCGACTGAAACATGCACTATTACCGGTAAATAAATGACACTTGACAAATTGTTTATTATGAAACAAAGTATTATTATATCTACAAAATACAAGCAAGATTCATTCGTCCGAAATTCGCGTGTGTTCCTAGCACGAATACGTTTCCTTATTTCATGAGACCACTGCATCGCGAAGGATCGTCATTGGATCGTTCGTAGTTCTGAATTAGGGCATGCTGTCACAGCGGAATTGTGAAGCTCTTCTAACTTCTGCAACGTTCTGAAATCTTGTTAAGAACACCCAAACTCTTTTGCCGTTTCTTAATCTTGGCAAGTTCATGGAGTAAACTGAGAATTATATGAAACACAATCAAACCATACAACTCCATAAGATATAACAATTAAGCAACTCCCCAGAGACATGCAACATTTTTGGAACAAAACGTAACAAAATAGTAGCGTTGATACGGTGATGTGTATTTGCAAAAAGCAATATTATTTCCTTCAATAAAGAATATTCATCCTGCTCTAACCGAGAAATAATCTACTCAGTCTGTTTGAACCCATTAAAAACTTAAAAAATTAGGCTACCGTATTTAAGAATACGAAAAATTTAAGCGCCTGCCTTCCATGGTCAGTCTTTCATGTACATTTAAGTTTGCAAAGACCTAATATTAAATACTTGCATAATTTCGAACGTTCATATTTCAGGAAACAATGAGCTAAGACTTACATGTAAGATGTCTAAATCTACGCCATATCCCTTACAAGCCTTAACGATAATTCGCTGAAATACAAGTTAGCCTAATATGTCATTAAGCAAACAAACGCTGGAGTTAATATTTGATATGCCGATTTTCGCTAATTTTAGACACATTCCAAAATATGCTCCCCATTTTTAACATTAATATATCCGTGAATTTTTAAGTTAAATACAACTGTAATATATCAAAATCTAAGTTAGTCCTTCCTCTATTTAATGCAAGTTATTTCTCTTTAAAAACTTTACTTGTTTAGAAGTTATTACGAATCAAACAGGAGTACTTTTTTTTGGGCCACCCGGTATATATATATATATATATATATATATATATATATATATATATATATATATATATATATATATATATATATATATATATATATATATATATATATATATATATATATATATATATATATATATATATATATATACACAGCAAAAAATCATTTTCTTATTAAGAAAAAAATTTCTTAATTTAAGAAAAAAAATCTTAAAATAAGAAAATAATTTTCTTAGTAAGAAAAAATTTTCTTGAAATAAGAAATTTTTGAATCCCAAGATATCTTTTTCTTAAAATAAGAAAAAATTTTCTTAATAAGAAAACATTTTCTTAAAATAAGAAAATACGATTTTCTTACTTTCTTAATAAGAAAACATTTTCTTAAAATAAGAAAATACGATTTTCTTACTTTAAGAATATGTTCGTAAGACAAGAAATGAAATTCTTAAAATACAAAATTATAAAATAGTAAGACATTATTACTTAAATTTTCGAAGCAAGAAAATGTAAAATGCTAGTGTTATAGGACAACTTATATCTTAACAAGACTTAGAACAACGTATATCTTATTGCGTCAGGTAAATTTGTAGTTTTAATTTCGAATTGAAGAGACTATATGACCGGCAGCTCACGGTTGATCAAACACTAAAAGGCCGGCAGTACATTGACTATATAGTTAAAGTTGAATCTTCAGTAATCAGTATAAGATAGATAAACCGATCCCCAATCCCAAACCCTTCTCTAACCCTAACCCCTAACCCTAACCTTTTGAGAGTTAGACCGGCTGCCGGTAATATAGTCACTTTGTTTTTATTTCGTTTCCAAAATTTGAGCTCGTTTCAGTTTTATTGAATCGTTGAAGAGAATTTTTGCCCTCCGGAATTTTTATCCAAGCAGGAATAGTTCGCCATAGTTCGCGTATTCGCTAAACGCCTGGTACCTAGTTTACCTTTTAGAACGCGGAGCATCGCGGGATAGCGTCGTTTTACATTTTTGTGAAAAATTTTATATAAATATCCATGAGCGCCTTCAAGGCAATTTAAATGGCAAATAACGATGGGAAAAGCATCAGAAAGTCCTTAAAATGTTGTTCAGATACCACAGGTAAGAATAATTGTATATTTGACTTGTTATTTAAACAGATTCATTGCGAAATAATGTAGTGATTATGACTGTTTACTTGAGCGAAGTGTGAAAATATTCCATTGAATGTTTGAATTTGCCGCGTTTGTTTTGCATATAAAACATGCAAATGTTGCTTTCAGGCAAGGGACGAAAGATTAAAATATAAATTCATATCTATTATTGTGAATTCCATACTAATTTACGCACTAATATTAACAATTTGACAATACTAAATTGCCTTTGACATTGGCAGTTTGCTAGACCTTTCAAATGTCAAGACTCAAGGCTATATAGTGATATGAAATAAGATATTATACATACGGATGTTTTTGAAGATCTGTTAGCATTTTAATACTTGAATAAGGATTGGAATTACAGGAGAATGACAGCATTTAATCTGATATTTTCAGTGTATAGATAGCTGAATAACTGAATTGCATCCTACTTTATTGTTTACTCTGTCTAATGCCAGATGATTTTCCTACTTGCCTTGCCGGATAACTTGGCTACTGTAGAGAATATTTAGGCCCCGTTTACATGAGACCGGGACGAAGTCAAACCGGAATGAAAATTGAAATTGTCAACATGTTTACATGAGACCGGTACGAGGATCACAAAATCTTCAATTTATTCCCCTTGCCAGGCAATTTTCTTTTTCAGGTGGCTTTTGCTAGCATGTGTTGTTCCAATGTCAAGATTACAGCCGAGACCGGTCTGAAATGTATTTGTGTTTACATTCATCCCGGTCTGAATTCATGCCGGTCTGAAGTCAGTCGGTTCGGTCCAGAAGGCGGAATGACTTGAGACCGGTCTGAGTTATTTTCGTCCCGGTCTCATGTAAACATCTATTATAGATAATACTATGACCGAAACGAGATGGTCCCGGTTTGACTTCGTTCCGGTCTCATGTAAACGGGGCCTTAGTTTTTCCGACTTACTATGCTTCACCCAGGAAACTCTGCAACCCTAGATAGAATGTATATGCCTTTCATTTAAAATAATAGCCCAAAAATACATACAAATCATTAGGTATGTTTATAGCTTTTCTCTATTTCTAGCAGCTTATTCTTGCCTATTTTGTAATCATGTTTTTTAAACCTTTTGAATGATCCAAATTGTGTTTGTATTTTGTCATTGCGCAGCAATAATGGGGTAACTTGATTTCATATAAATAGACTGCTTTTTGTCCTGCCTGAGTGAGTAACTGACCTTGCCGGGTAACTCGCCTACTGATGTACTGATATCCATATTGGTGTATTAGTCATCTTTGAATTTCGTGAAATGACATGTATTATCGGTATCGGCAAAGTATTGGTCGTTTATTATCAGTTATCAGAATATCTGTGAATTTCCATATATCGATGCATCACTAATACAGTTCAAGATTGTGTTTATATGAGAAAATGCCATCCTGCTCGCTGGGACAATTTTGTTATGTTGACATTGTTTTGACAGTTGTTAAAAATAGCTTGCAGCTTGGCATCTTTGACCATTCATCCTGGCCCAGCCTGCTTGTGAGTGTATTTGTGGAGAAATTTTCATCCCAATAAGCAACATTGTGGCATCAGAGCCAGCCTGCTTGTGGATCCATATAAACACATGATAATTTTTTCTAGATAAATATACCTAATGCAGTAAGATCTTGCTTACCGGGCTGTCCCGCTAAGCGGTCCAGCCCAGCTTCCATATAAAATAATACATTGTACAGCTGGTTTAAAGAACCATGAACAGCAACCGGAAGTAACCTATACTGTCAGTAACTGTGTGATATTGTATTGGACAAATGATTACATTTCTTAATATTGCAGCTTTGGTGCATGAATAAGGGATAATAGTCTACTGGGCACTTGCCACAAGAAAATGATAACTGAATCCAGGACATCTGTATCTGCCTACAGCCATGTCTCTGCTTAATAAAATTTATATAAAACATATGTAGTTTAATACTCCCTCTTTCGTCTTCTACTAATATGAACAGGTGATTGGCCGATTATAACATTAAACAATAAACCCTTTGTGTAGCACCCCCCTCCCACAAAATCCGTCTATATGCTTTTTAATCTAGTTAACTTAGGTAACTGAGGAGTGATTCAGATTAGCAAGCAAGTCTCCAGGTCTATTGTTCTTGCAATTTTGTATATATATATAGCTATTTCAATTAAGGTTGTCCCCAAGCAAAGGAGAAAAGTCGAATACAAGCACAAAAGGCTGCTGAAAATCGCTAATAAATTCATTTATATTTCTGTATACACCACATATAATACTTAGAGTGATGCTTACATTCTCAATATGTAAGTAAACTTTTACAGATTACTAGCTGTATAAGGATGTATATATAATGGTCTCCAGTGGCATTTGCATGATGTGTTTGGAACAGTGTTTAATGTGCATTATAAAGAAATCTATGGACTTTGAACAAACGGTTTGTCAGATAATATTGCTTGTCATGTGGAAAGAGTTGAAAAATTACTGCTTCAGGTCTTCAGGAGAACTTAAATTTGCTACAACACATTCCTGTGCAATCAGAACTAGACCTAGTTGTGTAACAGTGCAGCTAAAAAAAAAACTTGTATAAATTGACAATAATTTGATGTTTTGTATGTTACTCTGAGTGTATATCCACACCGGGCAGGCTAAATGGGAATCGAACCCGCAACCTTTGGGATACTAGTCCAATGCTATGCTAACTGCATATACACTCAGAGTAACATCAAAAACAATATTCACCTGAGTACCTGTACATATAAACACCCAAACAACACGTTCTTAATAAGAAAATTCTTTTTAAGAAAAATTTCTTGATTTGAGAAATTATTTTCTTAAAATAAGAAATTATTTTCTTATTTTAAGAAAATTTTCTTATTTCAAGAATTTTTTTTCTTGGGAGAATAACAAGAAAATTTTCTTAATAAGAAGATTCATTTTAAGAAAAATTTCTTGTTTTGAGAAATTATTTTCTTAAAATAAGAAATTATTTTCTTATTTTAAGAAAATTTTCTTATTTCAAGAATTTTTTTTCTTGGGAGAATAACAAGAAAATTTTCTTAATAAGAAAATTCTTTTGAAGAAAAATTTCTTGTTTTGAGAAATTATTTTCTTAAAATAAGAAATTATTTTCTTATTTTAAGAAAATTTTCTTATTTCAAGAAAACTTTTTTCTTGGGAGAATAACAAGAAAATTTTCTTATTAAGAAAAAAAAATTTCTTGATTTGAGAAAATATTTTCTTAAAATGAGAAAATATTTTCTCAATTTAAGAATTTCTCTCAAGAAAATTTTCTTAATAAGAAAAATTTTCTTAAGAAAATTTTCTTATTAAGAAAATTTTCTTGTTATTCTCCCAAGAAAATATTTTCTTATTTCAAGAAAATTTTCTTAAAACAAGTTGTTTTTTTCTTAAAATAAGAAAATGATTTTTTGCTGTGAATGACAGTATATTTTATATAATTTACTGTAATGCCATATATACTAATGTTGATATTGATGTTGTTAGGCTGAGGTAACAGTATGTATTACTTTTAGTTTTATTAATAAATCGTTTGGGTGGAGTCATTTGTAACTATGCAATTACTGTCTTAGTATATTATATATAATTAGCCTAGACTAGTATAGGTTGAGTTGCAAAGCGGCGAAATCATTTCATATTTGTATTAGGCCTATTTTGCAGCTACAGTAGGTTTACCTGTTTCTGTCCAAATGGCAAACACGTAATTACACTCAGAACAATGTACTTCAATTTATTATTGGGATAATTAAAAAAAAACCCCACAAAAGTTTACATATTGACTAAATAGTTTACATATTGACTATAGTCTATAGCACTTTGCCAAAATGTACTATTATTTATTTCTAAAAATAAAACAAATGTACTTTTACGAATAAATAAATTTACAGACTCAAATGTTCTCAATCATCAGTATATCCACAATATTTGAAAATGTTTCGAGACATTAAGTGAGTAATTTTGCTCAGACCGTGAAGAATAGCGATTTCCGTATGCTCTTCTGCAAATTTAGGAAACGAACGAAGAACACCTTTTAAATGTCTGAAACACATCTCACAGCAAGTGTTGTATTCGGGATGATATGGCGGCTGATAAACCAATCTTAGCCCACGGTTCGCAAGCATGTCTCTCAAAACTGGTTCAACATGACGAGCATGATGAAATCCGCAGTTATCCATAACTATCGTGTCGCCTTCTTTCAAAATTGGATTGTCAAAGACGTCCTGTTCCTCAATTGCTTCGGCAAAAAAGTTCAAGAGTTCGAGCCCATTAGACGGACCAGGTAAAATATTTACATGTCCAATTCCATAGACATTATGCAATAAGTTCACTGTATAAGTTGCATTACTTGCATATCGCTGAATTTCAATTGCTCGGGTGCCAATTCCAGAATGGCCGTAATGTCGATTTCCTGTGGTTTTAACTACAGAACATTCATCAAAAAAATGTAATGTTCTGATGTTTACACTGCATACTGCTGCTAAATATCTCTCAAGTAAGTCTTGTGCTTGTGGCGTAAGAGATTCTCTAGGAATTACTTTAAGCTTCTTGTAAGAATAACCCAAGTCGGATTTCAAACATCGGCTTACAGTTGACTGCGATGGCACATTCTGTTGTAAACAGACATTATTTTCGACTAAAGAATGTTGTAATTCTTTAGCAAACACACTGGGCTGTCGTTGTTTATAGTATTCTATATATTCACAAACATCGTCAGTTCTTGCATGTCTTTGTGTATTTCCCCCTTTTAGAGCCTCCGCCGTTCCCCGAGTTACGAAGTTGTTTACGATATTAGTTACTGTTTGCCGTTTGAGGTTCAGATTAAACCCTATCTGTGATGGATTTTGCCCTTCACGCCAAAGGAATATTATCCTGTTGCGTACTTCTACTGGAAGAGCTTGTCCTTGCTTTGTAAAAGGGTTCATGCGTTTTCCTTTCACTTTTTAAACAGTGACAATTTAAGGCGCCAAAATCTGTTTATTAAACTACATATGAACTTCTGAAATACCGAAGTTCATGCATTTCAAAGTTCGTAAGTTCATTTTGAAGTTCGGAAATTGAAACCGAACTTCGTTGCCAAGTTCGGAAGTATTAATGTGAAGACACACTGTATCTTCAAGTTGACAACTTGGAAGTTCTTACTCTGCACATAGACTATGTAGATTAAAATGTTGGTTATGGGTTTATAGTTTATACTAGCTTACTGTAATTATGCATTTTTACCATGTTGCAAAGCTTGAACTGACTGCCGAAAGACAAGAATATCTTGACAATCAGTTGCCCAAAGACACACTGTATCTTGACAACTTAGAAGTCCTTACTCTGCACATAGATTAAAATGTTGGTTATGGGTTCATAGTTTATACTAGCTTACTGTAATTATGCATTTTTACCATGTTGCAAAGCTTGAACTGACTGCCGAAAGACGAGAATATCTTGACAATCAGTTGCCCAAAGACACACTGTATCTTGACAACTTAGAAGTTCTTACTCTGCACATAGATTAAAATGTTGGTTATGGGTTCATAGTTTATACTAGCTTACTGTAATTATGCATTTTTACCATGTTGCAAAGCTTGAACTGACTGCCGAAAGACGAGAATATCTTGACAATCAGTTGCCCAAAGACACACTGTATCTTGACAACTTGGAAGTTCTTACTCTGCACATAGATTAAAATGTTGGTTATGGGTTCATAGTTTATACTAGCTTACTGTAATTATGCATTTTTACCATGTTGCAAAGCTTGAACTGACTGCCGAAAGACAAGAATATCTTGACAGTCAGTTGCCCAAAGACACATTGTATCTTGACAACTTAGAAGTTCTTGCTCTGCACATAGATAAAAATGTTTATAGTTATGGGTTTATACTTATAGCTCACTGTAAGTAATCATTATGGCAAACTTGACCTGATTAGCAAGAGGTGTTTAGAATGTAAAATCTTGTTAACTTAGAAATTCTTGTTTTATTATGTTGCAACCATTAATGAATTAGTTTGAAACTTTTAATTCATTAATTTTAAGTTACTTACTACAACCCATTTGCTGGCAATGTGCCCAGCTTTAGTATTTTACTGTCTAACACTCTAACGCCTCACAATTTTATTCGTCAATGGTACTGTATGGTCCTGCCAGTTAGTTAATGTGTCAACAAAACTATCTGCCCATTTCTCGTGTTTATTATTAGCATGACAAAATTACTGGATGCTGATTGGTTGAGAGGTGTACAATTATTTCATTAATTGTACTGCAGTACAATTAATGATTTTCCAAAAAAAAACAAAATGGCGGAAAGGTACTTTAAACACAAATGTGAAATGAAAGTGCCCTAGAGGAACTAGATGAAAAGAATAGCAAAAGCACCAAATTTACTTTAACAAAAGAACTAAATGAAAATACGAACAAAAGCACCAAATTTTGGTTGAAAGTATGGCAGGACTGGGCTTTGGCGAGAGAATATGATGTTGACATTGAGAAGTATCCAATTTTGTCATGCTAATAATAAACAAGTAATCATGCAATGTTGCTCTTACAATTAGGGATTAATAGTACTCGTGATGTTTGGAAATTTGCCAAATTGGACTCACCACGACGGCTCGTCCAATTTTGGCAAAATTTCCAAACATCACTCGTACTATTAATCCCAAATTGTACTCGCCATCGCATGATTACCTATACTAATTAATGACCCATTAGCTGGAAATGTGCCCAAATGCACCCCATTTAATATTTTACTCTGTCTAATGGCAGATAATTTAACTTGCCGTTGGTAGGTATGTCCTATAAATAGGTTAATTAATCTTAGTTTTTTTTCTGTCCTTTATCAAGTGTGTTGCCTGTATATGTATATGGATTTAAGGCTGACAGAAGTCGTATCATGCTTGGCCTTTGTGCAGGAATTGCAGATGATGACTGTTGTCCAAGTTCAAGCAGTGTGTTATCTCCAATGGTTTCCCCGATGGCCTTTATAATGATTCCAAACGAATACACATCACTTGCAGGACTTGGTGGATGACTATTCAGGACTTCGGGGGCAATATAATTGTAAACCTTTGCATATTTCTTTCCTGATGCATATGCAATTTGTTTGACCTTTCCAAAGTCAATTAAATACCCATTTTTGTGATCGGACACAAGAACATTGTTTGTTTTGATATCACAATGGAGGAATCCCTTTTTATGGATGTATTGTAATGCATTAGCAATGTCATAACAGACTCTGAACCAATCTAGCACTGTCATACTTCCCATAATATCCATGGATTCTTTGTCATACAACAGTTTGTGTATTGTCAATGATTGAAGGTCCTTTCCAACAAACTCCATAAATAAGGAATATCGCTTCCTTGTATTGTTTATTCCAAAAACATGAGGCACACATCTATGGGCAAACATTTGCTGATACAGTGCTTCTTTATAAACCGTGGTCTCATTTGAATCTGGCATAATCTTCTCAACAATGTTTATATCAAACCGTGGATAGTACCATGTACTACAATGCCCAAAGCTTCCAGAGCCAATACATGGTGAAGGATTTTCCAGTTCATCTGGCTCAATATTTGGAAGAGATTTTTGCTGTTGTACTTGTAGTCCTGGCAAAACCTATTAAAAAGTATATAAAGGAAAAAATATTGTTAACCATTCTCATATAGATTTTAAAAGTCAATTGAAATCTAATTTGTAAAGGTTACATGTACGTACTGTGACCGAACTGTTTATGCGAAAGAGAAATACATCTTTGTAAACATGCTAGTTATGCTCCATTTAGTATATGAACCCCCTTGACAGTCACCTTCATAAACATAATCCCTTAAAACATAGAACCACTTTGGCCTTTCAATTCACTTTTTTGGTGTGCTATTTAGGATGTTATTCTTCCCGCCCCATATATCACTGAAACACAATTTTTTGAATTTTTCAGAAAATCCTGTGAGAACAACCACACCAGGGGCGTAGGAACCGGGGGGTGGGGGCAAGTTTTCAGAAAACACAAAAAGTGCCCTCTCTCCAGTGGCAAGCGCCCTTTGCCTTCATGAAAAATGTTGTTCAGATTGCATTTTATATGATTGAAATTACTTTTCCTCTCCCCCCTTTACCGTTGCTAACATTTCCTTAAAAAAATGTTCAGGTGCATGCCCTTTTCATTCCAAAAATGCCCCTCAAAACACACACACACCCAATCTTTTGATGCTCCTATGCCCCTGATCCACACCCCTCCCCCTTCCCATCCGGCCATCTCTCAATATATGGGTGGTGCGCAGATTTAAAGGCACACAGTCACCATTTCAACAATGTTATGTTAACATTAACATTGAAAGAATGAATTTTTTAAGTTTGAATTGTAAGCATATTATACTATAAAATAACATCGCTCAAAGCTCAAATGGTGACTGTGCATGTATAAATAAATGGAATGGCCAATTAAAATTATTGAAATAGAATTGACTATGAAGTTGAAATGCAGGTTTACCTTTGAAGATTCAGACTTTTTAAAATTATTATTAATGTCTAACATACACTGCTTCCACTTGTTGTAATACTTGGAGGCAATACGTTTCTGCTGATCGAAATCTTTCCGTATCACGCGAACTATTTTCTCAACTCGCGTTTGCACGTCCTCTTCTCTTTTGCTCTTGTATCGTTCAGCCCGTTTACGCTTCTTTCTCAAGTTTCTTGATTTTCTTTTTTGCTCAACAGAACGCCCCATGTATTCACTATTCTATGGTAATTTTGCGTGATATAAGTATAATGTAGATTCACATTGAGAACATTTGGCGCGCTGAATTATAAAAATACCGGGAATGCGATTCTGCCTAATTTGGACATTAAAGTCATATTTGGGTATATTAGTGGGGAGGTTGACTGCCGTAGTTTAAATCACTATATAAAACACAATGGGAAGCGTTTTGATTTTAATAGACAAATATGCAGCGAACGAAGTATTGTATTCGTTTTCCCGTTTAGTATGGAATATAAGAGTATTTACAAGGCTTGTAATGATATTTAGAAGGTCAGTCAAGTTAAATTAACGAATATTTTAACACAATTTGTTTACTATTTTCTATACAATCTATATTTATATATGTGGGAGACATCACTCCTTTGTTGTCTGTAATGTTTAATACACGGGACTATTATTAATAATCTCGAAGATAATTTTATACAATGAAAAATGTGATAACAATCTTCATTGAGAATAAAACTGTCCCGTGTGTTAAACATCACCTAAATAAATTTAACATTTGCTGTTAGATTACATACATGCTAATAATATACATGACAAACTGATATTAACCTTTCAACTTCATTATGACTTTGGCAGTTTCTATTTGTTTCAGTTTGTCTTTCATGACGGAATCTGCTACTAGATTATCATACGTTGGTAAATTATTGTTTGAAATGAAATAATTCTTTTCCCAATTTGCAATGTCCTTCTCCAACTCTCCTTTCTTCTTTGATACCTTAGTTTAAATAATTGCAAGTTTGTGCATGTAGTTATCCAGCAAAAACTTATCTTGTCTTTGATTCTTGGCATTTTTTCTGGCTCGATCAAATTCAATGACGTCGTCTGTATTTCCGAGGATGTAAGCCAATGTCGAACCCAGTTTAGTATTCCATTGTTCTTTATTTGCACTTGAAGAGCCTTGAGTGACTTGAACATTGTTGGCTTCATTTGCGACTTGGGTACACTCCTCCACCATAAAAATATATGAAGAAACAGCTCATATGAGAACACAACAGGCTATAGGAAATATGACCATATCAAATCAATATGACCAATATCAGACAATATATTCTGTGCCAAATTGGTTACTTACCAGTGGCGTAACTACTATGGGCTCGGACCGAAAGAACCCGGGGGCCCCCAACCCCAATGGGCCAAATGGGGCCCCAGGCTCAGGCTATAGAGCAAAAGCATTAGCCAGGGCCTTTGATATGTTACAATTTCGTTTTCTGACCATCAGAATTCTGTAAAATCTCTCCCCAAAGTCCGGGAAATGGTATTTCAGAGAATCTAGATTAAAAAATTTTCCGGGTAAGCATGCTCTGGACCCCCTAGAAAACTTGTGCATATATGGCGCTTGACTTGTGCCTTTGGCACTTCTACTAAGGGGGCCTTCGAAAGTTTTGAACCGGGGGGGCCCTGATATGACGTTAAGCCGCTGTAACTTACATATGTGTAATTATATGCATGGTTTTGTATATAGAACAAACCTGTTGTAGATACAGTATCCACTGAGGTATTGTTTAACATTGACAGTTGCAAATCATCTTCTTGTTCTGGCATCAGATTATAATGGATCGTGTTTTCACAACTTTCTTGTTCATCATCACTTGAATCAACATTATTTGTGCCATGTTTTTCTGGCATATCTACTGTGCTCTCTCCATCAACAACAACTGGTGCTTCATTCGTCATAGTAACATCATCAGACAAGTCATCCAGGGGCGGATCCAGGGGGTATCGAGTGTAGCTCAAGATACGGTCAGATTTTTCCGATTATGCATACTAAAATAGTTTTGGGGAAAATTTCAATATTAATATATTTTCACGCAAATCATTTCTGTTTACAAAAATAGTGAAAATTTGAGTTTACTAAGATGAACGAGGGCAAACTCTTTCGTAAATTTTAAAATTCACTGCTCTAAATGTATCATTAGACGTGTTTTTAAAGCATTGAATTACTTTCGTCGAAGATGAGCCGAGAGCCTTCCGAAGGCATAACCCGAGGTTACGTAACCCGATCGGAAAAATGTTTTTAAATGCGTCTGCGGTGTTCTGATACGGTCCGCGGTTCAAATGTTACTAAAAATAGTAACTTAATGAGGTATTTGGATACCTTGGAGGGTATCCAGCCAATAACAATACGTGTATCTATGACGTCGGATACCCTCTGATACTGTGGCTGTATTTTGATTGCGCAAGAAATGAAATAAGCGTGAACCGCTCGGAAACTTCGTCTCATATTGCTAACAGCCGCATTTGTTCTAACGTAACTGAGCACAAACTGAGTGCATGAGTGATGGCCTTGCATAATTTCAGAAGACGTCCTTGAAATAACACTTTATAAATAGTGTATTGGATGCCAATTAGAACAAGACTATTACGAAAAGGATATGTCCGAAGGGGCCGAAGTTATGTTCGGCGAAAGGTATGGCTAGTTTACATTGTTCGAGAAAATCGAGTTATATAGTGAAATATATGATATTGCTTGACCTCTCAAAGTTTACAAATCGCTATAGGCCTATTGACTAAAACTATCGTTAGGAATTAGGAGATATTCTTTCAATGAACCAAACGGTAGTATTTTTGTTTTCATAGCATTCGCCTAACCGAAGATATTAATCTGTAAAGTCATATTGCGGCATTGCGCGTGCAATATGTTATTAATTTAAATAGGGACCGGCCGAGAATATTAAATGTACTCAGTCGCGAAAACCGACTTTTCCATGTAAAAACACCCCCGGCCACGTTTCATGAAACAGAAACTTGAACACAGATACCAAGAAGAGTTATTGTGTGTTTTTTTGTTACTTTGTGTTTAAAATATGACCTTGTTAAGGCCAAATTTTAGGTCAGAATCATGGGCTCAGAACGCAGGAAGTGGCATATCCGGGGTTCAAACATCAAAAAATTTCCGGGGGGACATGCCCCCGGACCCCCCTAGATATGCGAGACCTAGGAATATGATACGGTCACATTTTAAGCTAGATCCGCCCCTGGTCATCTATGAACTCTTGATTCCTCAGGAAATGTGTCTGGATAGGGATAAAGGTATCTTTATTGGCATCTTTCACCCGTAACACATGAAGAGGTAAGGGAATTTTCTTTTCCAGACACATAGACCAGCATTCATTCAGATATTCTTCCTCGTCTTTGAAATTACTAGAACGGAAATGATGAAGCCATGGACCTTCAACTCTTGAATCTACCTCTGTCTAAATGCTGTCAAAGAATTCTATGTCGCCTTCTTCATTGCTTGTCCACCAAACATCTTTGCCAACCACCAAAAAGTCACTTATCCTCTCCAAATGGGCTTGCCAAGAAGAAGAATGATTTGTTATAGTGCTGAAAGGAACAACAGTATTGCCAAGAGAAGGAACCGATTTATCCAGTTTGGATATGTGAGCTTGCTGCTTTGGTACTGTATTCTCTGAATGGTACGCTCCCATTTTCTTCTCAGCTTGGATTCGAAGAAACACATTGCCAATAATATGACCAGGCTTGTTAGATGAGGTTGCACGAGTGATGTTGGTAACCGCATTGAAAATTCTTTCTTGTTCTTCAGCATGACATGATTTTCCATTGACAAGACGATGTTGTATGGCAGCATGGGCTGACATTTTGTGGAAGTAGACACCATAAAATTTTCTACAACTCATCTGCTTTGTCTCATAACCGATAACTTGCCAACATAGAAATGCGTGTGTGTAACCATGTCAGATTGTGGAATCGCAGAACACTGCGTGGTGAACGGCTCTCATCTCTTCCATATGCAATGGATTGTATCTCAACCAAAGTCTGTAACAGCCTCTGTGCTCCTTGAGAGATTTTACCAATTACTCGATTAGTTACCATTATCAAAGCACATCGGTAGCCAAAACATCTCTTTGTTTCTTTAGTACCAAGACAAAGTTCAACTGTTTCATTGATAATTGTCGCTTCTTTGGGTCAAACATGCATTGGCAACTCAACAAGAACATTTTCGATATGTTTTCCCACATCATGCAGTGGCTCAAATGGTAATATTTCATATTTGTCACTGTTAATTGAAGCCAAGTTAGCCAGTGGGTTTGTAAAAAGAAGAGCTGGGACTCTCTGCACTCCATGAAGCTCATCAACCAGCAACTTTTTCAGCTCTTCCTGCTTTTCCCCTTCGTATATCTTTCTGCTGTTCAATTATTGTAATAATTCCGGCTTCTTCAATTGGTAGACTGGTTTATTATTTCCTGCCATTGTTTTTCGTCGAGCAATGGCACCCTCTAAAATCAACTTCTGTCTTTCACTTAATGAAATGTGCGTGCAACGAAAGCTGTAATCCAGTTCATACACACGGTTTGCATGTACTCCACAGACTGAACAATAGAAGTTGCCTCTTTTTTGTTGGCCACACTCATATTGCTGGGCTGGGTTGTCACCATGAAAAACCTCATCACATCAACTATTTCTTCCCCTTCTTCTGTTGCTAATGGCAGACTGATTTCTTCCAAGCATTCTAACCTCGTTTCAACATAAGACAACTGTTTTAAATCGGAGCTGCTTGACCTGGCAACAATGTTCACTTCAGGTGATTCAATAATTGTTTGAACATCAACTTTTCTCTTTGTCTTACTTTCATACTCCTCATTTGTGTAAAATAAGGCTGGATCATATAAGCATGCAACCATGAAAATCAGATGACCATGATTAGCCACTGTTGATAAATCATGCCATATTTTTAGGTGTCGAGTGTGTGAAATCTCTTCCAGCTTTGCTTTTATTAGGCCAATGAAAATTGATATCATGTTTCTCGTCCCCGCCCGCATGGGATTTATCTGCCGCACGAAAATTTTTCATTATTCATTATTTTTGAAAAATAGGCTTAAAAACACCAAATTCATCTCCAGATCAAAGTCTTATTGCTGCATTCCGCAAGCGCAACTCAAATTGTATCTTTCTAAAGATATTACTCGCCAAATTGCCTCTATTTTTCATGTCAGCCCTGGTATGTGTAGAAATATACTGTAGTCTGTAGACTGTAGTGTAGGACGTATTAAATTAAAATGAATTATACACCAATTTTTAATGCTTCAGATTTTTATGGGATTTTCTACTGGGTCAAGGAAATTATCGACAAGCAGAATTCAAATACAAAAAATAATGAAAAATGAAAAATGAAAAAATCCCGCTCCAAATTTTTGAAAATTGTGGACGAGAAACATGATATCAATTTTCATTGGCCTTACCTCTTTATCATCTGCATCAGAGAACACTGCATTGACCTGAACTAATTTTTCTATTAATTCTTCTCTTGACATCTCAGATAATTCTTCATTGCTCATCTTTCTCATGTAACTGGCATACGACTTCAGAAAATTCTCCCTGATAACTGTCAACGGTTGCTTGCGACCTTCTACCACAAATTCACTTCGAATTATTTTACCATCATCACTAAGTGTAAATTTTTCATACTACAAATAAGGAAATAAAATAATACTCTTGTTAGAATCATCTGGTGGTAATGAGTGCACTGTGCATTGTAACTGAATGATTTAATCCATGCGACCATTAGCTGGAAATGTGCCCAGTACTTCAGTATTTTACTCACTCTAACACCAGACGATTTTACTTGTTAGTGATAGAATAAGATAATGAAGTACGTACCTTTCTAGGAACAATTAACTTCCCAATTGAATATTCGTTCTGCAAGATTTTTTCTTGTAATTGTTTCTTCAGACACGCATTTGTTTGTGGCGTTGGAATTGATATCTCCCCTCCTAAGCCCCTCCTCTTCTTTCGTCGAATACGCGGACCATCAGAATTTGTGTTGTATCGTTTGAATCGTTCTGTGTCAACACCCACGTGCACCGATTTCAACCATTCTTTTGCAATCTGGCCACCATTTTCTGCAATTTCTCCTTTTGTATTTGTGACATTATATTCTTTTGCTAGTTGGGACCAATTAACAAACTTGCCATCTTCATACGATTCAACTTCCAATTTCAGAGCATCTTTGTCCCATGTCATGTTGTCAAATACTCCAACAGGACTTCGTTTTGTTATGGTTTCCTGGGAATGTTCTGGACCAACTCTTGGCTCGAATGCCTGGGTTAGACGATCATTCTGTCTTGACTTTAGCGACTGTCTGTTGCCAAAACACCTATAAGAAGATATACCCAATTTACAAGACTATTTTTTTAGTCGAAATAACACTTAATATGTTTTTGTCTTACTGTAACATGGAGTATAATTATATGCCAGGTAATTTGAACTTCATTTCTACCACCCAGAAATCAGTACATAACCTATAGTATACAGTAGTGTAAACAATGTGCATGGTAATATCGATGCATATGCCATATAATTAGTCATGTTATATGTAAAGAGTGCTACGTCCTGTGATTTAATTCCAAATTGCAATCTTTCCACACAATGCATATACTGTAGTATGCAAATGTCTTATAATTATAATCTTACCTAAAAACACACTAACCTTATAATTTCTGTTTCCTTCCATTCTTCTTCTATCCGTTTTTTAGCCTTTCTGTATTGATCCCTTCTTTCTTTCTTCATTTGGGCTTTAGATTTCTTCTGCTGCAGTTGTAATTCGGGAACAGAGACTAATGGTTCAGCCAAAGGAACTTGGCATGCTTTCTCAAATTGTGAGTTCATTCGAATGTAAAGTTCCCTTGCGGTCTTGGTCACCTCACGTTTCGTACACTTTTCCTTTTCATGACACACGTCTCTAACAGTTTGTGCTGCCTCTGCAAAGTCAATCTCCTTTTGGATATGTTTTAATTGGTTGGACTTGACAGGAAATATAAAGACTGCTGGTAGCTATATCTCTGAGAACATCCACGACACTCCAGTAAACTATGTTCAGCCTTCTTTGAGGATGGAAGTTTCCTCCACTTTTCCGTGTCAAAAGTAGCAACATATATTGCGCGCTCGTTGAATTTTCGCAAATTCCATTTAACAAACTTCGTTTGGAGATCTGGAAACCTATTTTGAAACACTACGAAGTCAATACAAAAATTCCCTTTGCATTCACTGAAAGTTTGAATAAAATTTTCGTAGTGTAACTTCGATATTCGCGAACGAAATTTTGGAAGTAACTCTCCGTCCAAACGTGTCGCTTTTGACTGCGTCAATTTTGCCAGCTGCCACGCAATTACTTTGGAAAATCCACAAGTATTAGGGTGAATTAGACTTAATACCATCATGAACCACGCATATTCAAATAAAATAATATTACATCTTAAAAACATCGAAATAACTTGTTGTATTTGCTGTAGAAGCTTCACTTTGTTGCTTAATTGCGCGAAATTTTTAAATTTCGCGCCGTATAATTTGTTTTGCTATTGGCGTATACCGCTTTTTACAACAGTGCAGGCTCAATCCAAGATGGTGTCTCTTCGACATTTTTTACGGAAACGTTCGTTTGGCTTCCGGACAAGGATTTTTAGCTTTGTTGTTTAAAATAAACATTTAATAACATTGATATTAGCATGTAGTTTTGTGCATTAACTTGATTTTGAGACTATAATTTAATATGCGGCTGAACGGCAAAGAATTCCTGAGCGAATAATAACGCTCAAGGGTATTATTGATTTTGGGGCATTAATAACAAATCTCATCCATGATAACAAGTTAGATATATAAAGTTAAGACACTAAAGTATTTAAAATGAAGAAAAACGGAATTCTTTATTGCGATTTTCCGAGTCATCAACGCCGTTGAAAAGTAGTAACGATAAATGACCAAAATTGTCACGTGACATGTTTCCATAGAAACGTTAAATGTCTAAGTGGCAAGCTCTGACCACTGTGGTTAAGCACTGTTAATTTCCCCGCAAAAAATGGACGACTCGCTAATGTTTCCTGACCATTTAAGTGTTTAATCGTAATTTGAAGCTGAACCCATGCATTAATCTACTTGAGTTGGTGTTGCTATTGTTTAAGCAATGGAAAACGGAGCTTTTTTTTAATTTGCTGTGTTTACAGGGGTAGAATTGATGTAATAGTAGTTATGTTCAGTAGCTATAAGTATGTATTCCCGCAAATTTATTTGCAGAATTTAGCGCAATATTTGGACCGCGTGTTCCTTGCGAGTTCGCACAAAATTCAATTCGTAGGGTTGGCATGGTTAAATTTTTGGGGAGGGTGTATAATCAACGGGCCCTCCAATCTACTTCAACCCGGGGCCCATAGCTGACGATTTACGCCACTGTTGGAAAATTAATGCAAGGACAGCAGACGTTCCAGCAAGACCACTAAATTGAGATTCACTAATTTTGTCATTAGTATCTTTTAGAATCCACTCAACAGCATATGATTCCTGAAGTTGTAAAAAAGTTCTAGTCAATGCAATTAGTCTTAGTTCTTCCACTGACGAAAATGGATTTGATTTCGGGACACTGCATATATTGGAAATTTTCCACATTTCAGGAAAAGATTTGCTTCTAAACGACTGGTTGTAAATGTTAGCTAATGGCACGGCGAAGTGTTCTGCGAATGTCTTTATCACTTTCATATTTGGATCAAAAGGGCCAGGTGCTTTATTGACGTTTATGTTGGACAATTTCTTTGCAACACTTTCAATCGTAATTGGTGGTAAAGGATCTTGACTTTCGAATAATATCTATTCATCTTTTACTTTAGGGTATTCTTTAGTCAAACTCGTAAAGAAACTGTTTATGTAATCAGCAGTTGTTTATCGTTCATTGGGCATCTGATAGAGGGTCTGATAAGTCAAAATTCTGTCTTTTATTTCCAACAATGCGTTTTACATTTTCCCACCATTTCTTTGAGTTTTGGTTATGAAAGTGTTTAATATTGTTTTCAAAGAATACGCGCTTGGCCTTTCTAATCTCTGCAACAATTAAGTTCCGCAATTGTTTGGATTGATCGACTTTTCCGAGTTGGTATGCCTATCCCGTTTCTGTATCAATTGTTTAATTCTTCCATTTATAAAGGTTTGTCGTCATCTTGAATTTTGACTGACTTTAAAGGGAAGAATGCATCAACCATTTCTGTTGTTAATTTTAAAAACTTGTTGACTTTCTCGTTTATACAAGAGGTATTCAACACGGGTGACCAGTTATATTCACTGATACACTGCTCAAAGGCTTGTAGTGACGAGGATGTCAGTGGTCTTACATTTATCCGTTTTGGCTTTTGCTTGTGCTGCATTTGTTCTTGTGATGACCATATAATTGTACAGTGGTCTGAGGTACCAATTGGGACCTATACAAGTGGGGATTGGTAAAATTTATGAATGTCGTCAAAATAAGGTCAAGAATTGCCGAATTCTGGTAGGTTGTTTCATTACTTGTTTCAAATGGCATTGTCTATTGATGATCTTTGTACTAAAGCCATTACTTGCAGTGCAGGTGTTATTCTAAGGATAATTTACAACTCCTGTAACTAAAAAAAATTCTGCCGCTTGTTGAAGCAAGCCTTGAGCAGGAGACCTATTGTATCGACCTCGACGACCTGCATTATCCCTGAGAATAACTATAGCAAGGCTTTTTTGAATTTTGTGTGGTCTTCATCTTACTTATTGTCTAGTTACACTGTGACTCTATCACAACAACTGTTAGCCTGTTAGTCACTTTATGGTGTGGTGACGTCAGACCCCATTCATACGGTACGCCTGTTGATGAGATAGGTAATAGGTAATATACATTCAGGACATGGATTCTTATTGGGTCAATGGTTGGGAAATCAATCGGGTCTTGAAAAAAGGAAATTTGTACTAGTTATAAAATAAGCTTTAGTGTAGAATAATTTTATATTTCCAAATAAACTGATGACATACTTCATGAACTGTAAACATCTTAGGAAATAAATATGACCTTCGAGTGAGTTTAGCTAAATGTCAGGTCAAATACTTTTCCATTTAGCAGTCACAATTAATATAATTATTTTACTTATGGGTTTTATAAAAATAAATAAAACGTTTCCTCCTGCTGACAGAGAGTTAAAGTGACGAAATCTATCAACGTATCAAAGATAACGACGAATAAAATCACTCCAGACTTCTCAATTTAGTCAATAGACTCAATACCTCCGGATTTTACTTTCCAGAAAGTTGATAAAGCAATGTAAGCATTGAACGAAACTGATCTTTTAAGAAGAACTTCTCAAAACGTCTCTGCTACAATGGATGTCAAGAGTGGGATCTTCTGCTATAATACTTTTTGTAAAACTTCTAAGGAAGAGCCTACTGCAATCAAGTTTTTTTGAAAGGCATTGCAATCCCTTAGTACTCCACGATAAAGGCGAGTTCATCACCTTTTTGTGCCAGCCTTAAGAGATCTAACACTGGTGAAGAAATAAATTATTTATTGCCTTGTGGAATTTCTAGATCAGAGATTAAATTTGGTGTTGATCAAAAGATATTGAAAGTGGACAAACCCTTTATTGCTTTAAACCCTGATGCTGATATCAAGGAATTCATGAAACAATATGTTGAGACCGTTAATAAAATTTTCTCTCAAATTTAACAGCATTGTAACATCACCAGAGCTGATACGTACATGTACTCTCCAAAATCTTCCTTTAGCTCAGATGGGACAGTATTTGGCAAGAAAACGAAACATTTACCTCAATATTGTCATAGTCCTTGCCAGAATATGGGCAGCAAAACCTCACTCGTGCGATGTTGAAAGGTTAATCAGTGCGTGCAATCTTGTAAAAACATCGCCCAGGAATTCTATTGATGTCGAAAAACAAAATCTTTATCTATATGTTCACTTCGGTATGCCAACTCTTGAAGTGTTGGATCGAATTGAGAATGTGTGTTGTGAGATGGCTGCAACAAAGGCAACACAGAAACAAGGAAACTGACAAAGCATGTTATCAACGATGGTTCAAAGGTGTGTTTAAAGAAGCAACTGAGAATAAAGAATACGCAAGCGATGACATGGTGGATCAACATGTAGAACAAAATAAGAATGCCAAACTGTTTTGAACAAAGCTTGGCTTACGGATAAAAAACACTTATAACTTCTCTAATTTACATTTTTAAACTCGACTACATTACTTTATACGTCAATGAAAGTGACTGCTGGAATGTACGTGATATATTTTTGTGTGTTGAGTTAAAGACTAAAATGTCAGTATTATATCAGTGACAACTCCAATGTTTTTCATTTCCAACTCCAGATCCTTTTTTCCAACTCCAACCCCTTTTTTTCAACCCCTGCTAAAGATTGGCTATATCTTCTATGTTCGAGACAATTCATCCCCGCCTTTTCCAAAACTGTTTATAATCAGTACTTTTATTCTTGCCCACTACTGTTCTCAGACCATAACAATTCCCTGACTCTAACTTGTTAGTTAATGTCATCTTTTCATCTTTTCAATAGATGGCGTGTAGGAGATCGGTCGCAAATGTTTGTTGACATCAGTGGCTGGTTTTACCTTTGGGACTGGAATTATGTCAGCCTGTTTCCACATTGACGGTAATCTCTGTTCATCAAATGAAGAATTGATAATATTACATACTGGTTTTGCAAGTATCTCGGCATACGTTTTTCACAACCAGTTTGGGATACCATCAGGCCCGCTAGCTTTTCGAGGATTAATTCTCCTAAGTAGGTTGCATGTATCTAGTTCTGTCAATTCAAAAGTCTCTAGGTCTGGACCAAACTCACCATTGTTCAATGGGTTGTTAGACAGAGGTTCTATTCACGCATGGGTTGTAAGAAGGCCTCGTTTATTCTATATGCAATTTCCTCTGGGTTACCTTTATAATCATGTTCATTAAATTTTAGCTGCGTAAAAATGTTTTCGTTGTTAGTGGAAAAGTAGTTGTCGCGTAAACGCTTTCTCTCTCGGTTTACAAGATTTCTGTAGTGACGAAATTCTGTCATTTTTTTCTGATTGAAAGCTTCCTGTCGGCGTTTAATCAGGGTAATAAATTCAGGTGTTATCCAAGGTTGATTGTTGGTGTGTAATTTTGTTTTCTTTAGTGGCATTAATATATTCAGCCCACTTTTAATTAAGTCCTCAAATAAATGTTCTTTCCTATTGCATGACTTAATATCGTTGAGTATATTCCAACGACCCACGACTTTTTACCCACGACCGTTAGCTAGTTCCATCCGGATAACGGATAAGCGTAATAGTATTTATAATGTTAGACCGATAAGGATTCGTTTGCATACGTATACTGTATGAAAGTTTATATGTCAAAATGTGCTTTAAAATTCTCCTGAGCCAAAACTTTCTGCATCATGATGCATTTTGAACATTTCTAAGTCGGTCTATGACGAACATTTTTTTCCGATCAGTTCGAAATTCTCTAAGTCAAACTTTGGACGGCTAAACGTAGTGCAATCTATAAAAAAACACAGCTAAGGATCATTTGCACACGTATACTGCATGAAAGTTTATTTGTCAAAATGTGCTTTAAAATTCTCCTGAGCCAAAACTTTCTGCGTCATTATGCGTTTTGAACATTTCTAAGTAGATCTATGACGAAAAAATGTTTTCGATCCACCCGAAATTCAAGTCAAAATTTGGACGGCTAAGCGTAGTGGAATCTATAATCAATCATCAATATGTTTAATTAAAACCAATTTGCAGTTTTTAAAGGAAAAACTGAATTACATGGAGTACTAATCCTCATAACAGCTTAATACTCATAGTTTGATAATGTATTGTATGTTTTTACAATTTTAAGTCATTTAACCAACGAAAAATGCTACATACATCTGGTACCACGTAAAATACTGATGTCTTATAATTTTTTAGTTGCTTCCATCGTTGACATTGTGACATTGTGTTAAAGACTGAGCGCATCATGAGCGAAAGTTGTGGACCATTCCCAAGTAAAATTCTCGTAACTTTTTGTATTTTTAAATTTTTTTTTTGCCATTATTTTTCCAACAAGTTTCCAAATCGACTTTCAAACCAGCTTAATACTCATATTTTGATAACATTTTGTATGTTTCGACAATTTTGAGTCAATTTAACCAATGATGACGAGGGATGAAGAAAGATGTAGAGCGATTAAGATAATTCTTAAGGGTGAAATCCAAAAAAATCTAAATACAGTTAATTCAACGCAAAATTTGTTACCTTCTTTCATCGCTGACATCATGGAATAGTGGTAAAGATTGAGGCCATCATGAGCGAAAGTTGTGGATCATTTTCAGGTTTTTCCCAAAAATCTCCAAATCGCTCTTCACAACGGATTAATAGCCATATTGTGATAATATTTTGCATGTTTGGACAATTTTGAGCTGGGCACGAAAACGCCACCGTTGGATACAGCGTACAATTTTGACTCAGAAAATGACGTCTTCGAAAATTTTGACCACGCTCCCTTTCGTATAGCCTCCCTATCTCCGTAACTAGAAGTCGAATAATGACGAAAATGCACCGTTCGATTCCCCGTCAAAATCTGACCCAGGAAATGACGTTACCAAAAATTTTCGCTAACCTGGACATCTCTGGAAGGAAAAGTTGGCTGGTCACGAAAATTCCACCGTTCGATTCAGCGTAAACTTCTAACACACAAAATGACGTCATCGAAAATTTTGCCCACGCCCCCTTTTGGATAGCCTCCTTATCTCCGTAACTGGAAGTCTGATGGTGACGACAATGACACCGTTTGATTTCCGGTCAAAATCTGACCCAGAAAATGATGTCATTGAAAATTTGAGGCCACACCCATTTTTTGGCCCTTCACCCTAACCTAAATATCTCTGGAACGAAAAGTTGCTGGTCATGAAAATACCACCGTTTGATTCAGTGTAAAATTGTAACTCAGAAAATGACGTCGTTGAAATTTTGGCCACGCCCCCTTTTGGGTGGGCTCGCTATCTCCGTAACCCGAAGTCGGATGACAATGAAAATGCCACCGTTGGATTCCCCGTCGAATGCTGACACAGGAAATGACGTTATCGAAAATTTTGGCCACGCCCCCTTTTTGATAGCCTCCCTACCTCCGTAACCGGAAGTCGGATAGTCAAGAAGATGCTACCGTTCGATTCCCAATCAAAATGCTGACCCAGGAAATGACGTCATCGAAAATGTTTGGCCACACCCATTTTTTGGCCCTTAACCCTAACCTGGATATCTCTGGAACGAAAAGTCCCATGGTCACAAAAATACTACCGTTGGATTCAGCGTAAAATTGTTACTCAGAAAATGACGTCATCGAAATTTTTTGTCACGCTCCCTTTTGGGTGGTCTCGCTATCTCCGTAACAGGAAGTCGGATGATGACGAAAATGCCACCGTTTGATTTCCCGTCAAATGGTGACCCAGGAACTGACGTCATCGAAAATTTTTGGCCACACCCATTTTTTGGCCCTTAAACCTAACCTGGATACCTCTGGAACGACAAGTCACCTGGTCAAGAAAATACCACCGTTTGATTCAGCGTAAAATTGTGACTCAAAAATTGACGTCATGGAAAATTTTGGCCTCGCCGCCTTTTGGGTGGGCTCGCTATCTCTGTAACCGGAAGGCGGATGATGATGAAAATGGGAACTCCAGTAGCAACCATAAAATCGGAGGACTTAGACCGATCATGACAACTTGCTGCTTTCTATTAGCCAGATACGATCTAAACCACTGAAGTGCGCTGTCCACTACTCCAAAATCATTCTTGTGGATATCAATAAGAATATTATGATCTATAGTGTCAAAGGCAGCACTCATGTCGAGCATAACAAGCAACGTAACCTCTTCGTTGTCCATATTAATAAGTATGTCATTCTGCACTTTAAGAAGCGCAGTTTCAGTCGAATGGAACTGACGATATGCTGATTGACTGACAGGCAGTGGTGCATTTTCGTTACAGTGATTAACTAATTGCGACATGACAACTTTCTCAGCTACCTTTGCAAGAAAATGAAGATTATTAACAGGTCTAAAATTTTCAAATACTAAATCCATACCAAGTTTCTTAAGACGGGGATCTACAAGTGCCAATTTCCAATTTTCAGGAACTATTCCTTTCTCCAGCGACATGTTGATCATTTTTGTAATTATCGCACACAGAACATCACAGCAATCGTTAAGCAAATAAGTTGGTATTGGATCAAGTTGACAAAAGGCATTTGATGCTTTCGAAATAACTCCTCGTATATCATCTTGCGACACAGGAGAAAAGGATTTAAGCAATACTTCAGGTAAACGATGTTCAGTAGTTATCGGATTAACACCAATCTTATTAATTTCTTCATTGATAAGTTCAATCATTCGACCGAAAAATGTTCCAAATTCGTTCGCCAGAATCAACGGATCTTCATAAGGTGGTAAACTTTCAGATGACTTCTGTTTGGACAATGAATTGATAACACGAAACAATTTTTTAGAATTGCCTGAGCATTTGCCAATTAAATCAGAATAATTGCTTGTCTTCGTTTTACGAAGGGCGCTGTATTTATATCTAGTCTTATAATAAAGCTGTTTATCATGGGAGCAACCAGATTGAAGCATTTTTCTTTCGCATTTCCGTCGTTCAGCTTTAAGCTTTTTAATTAAGATCATCAGTGAACCAAGATACAACAGGTCTCCATAACTATCTTTTTCGTCTTAATAGGAGCGTGTTTATCAAGAAGATTTAACATGTAGAAGGTGTACATGGTCTTTGGACAACTTTTTTTCTTATGTACATAGCGGTCAGCGGGGTTCGAGCACAAACGCTAGACAATTATGCAAGTTGGCCTTCTACATATCCCCACCGAGTTTGGTGGCAATCGAATAAAACCCCACATCCTCGACCACGCGATTTTGTGTAACTTGTAACAAGGATAGACGAGAGGAACAGTTTAAAATGAATATATTTGATGCTCTTTCAGATGAAGAAATAAAACTTTTTGTTGCTAATACCCTTTAAGCTGCGTTTACACGCTGCGATTAATCGTGTACGATTCGTTTACTGGCATACGTCATTGAGTAAACACGCGTAAGCTGGCTGCATTTGATATTTCTTTTCAATGAAACAGCAATGAATTATGGCGCTAGCACTCATTTTAATACGCCAGAATACGAATCGTACACGATTAATCGTAGCGTGTAAACGTAGCTTTAAACAATATTGACAAATGTCCAAACCCCTAATTATTAATTAATTAACCCCTAATTATAAAAAAATGTATGTTAATCATAGGTTCGTTCTCACTAATTTGTTCTACTTATTTCTTCGCAAGCTGCGGAATTTGTCCCGCAGCTGCTGGTCTGAGAAATGTCCTCCGGAGATGAGCCCGTGCTCTTTTGCGCTTTTGTCTTTCCCCAGGACTTGAAGAATTTCTCCCTTGGATGCGTTGTCCTTCAGTTGTAACGTTGCTTCCTCAACCACTTTAGATTGTATACTATTAAATACTTTTCTGCCTTTTGGGTTTGGTTTATGCTTTTTGGTTTGTGAATGGGTTGTTGTAGAATCTTCGTCCTTCTCCCAGGCAGTTGATGCGGATGGTTGGTCTCCGAACAGTTTAAGTTTTTGTTCTAGGTATCGACCAACACGTGCTTTCTTTTTGACAATTTCGTCTACATGATAGTAAGCACTTGCTGTTTTTACATTGTGCGACATCTGGCTGGCGAGGTCGGCTGCAGACACATCTGGGGTCATGCTTTCGCGGTGCTCGGTGACGATATGTTTACGAATTCTGGAACCGTGAAACTTAACTGCCAAGTCCGGGCATGTCTTCTTTGTCACATCCCTGATGCGCCGAGTGATCTGCCTTCCTGTCATGAATTTTCCAGAATAGTTGACAAAGAAGGCATGGCGCTCTTTTGCCACCCCAGTTATGTGCGGGAGTACGGACAGGACTGGGTTTTGGATAAGTGGCATGAGTTTCTTCAAGTAGACTTGACCAAGCTCATAATTGGTCCCATTCCAGAATATCGCTGCACTGCCTTCTGTCGACGAGGTCTTGTGAATTTGTGTCTCCGTTATGAAGAGGGGGGGCTCTTGCTCGCGGTCCCAAATGCCATTCTTGAACTCCTCCACCGTTAGGTTCGCCAGAGCTCCAGGACGCTGAGCAGATCTACACAGCAGCTTCAGCATCAAGTTGTCTCGGAACTCGGCGAACCTGTCCCGCGAGATGAAGGTTAACTGGCGTTTAGACAGGGCCAGCATGTCCGACTCTAATTTTTTGTTGGTGGGCTGGTTCGCTATTCTGGCAAAGTCTTCACTGCTAATATGCTGGTCAAGATCTTGTTTGTGCAGCTCTTGCTTACGGATGCTTACGGATGACGCCAAACTTTTCAGCCATCCAGCTGTCAGTTGCCGGGCACTTTGGATATTCTCCAGGTCGTCCTGGCTGATGATGACATTACACGTCTTCCCCAACCTCACGCGCATTGCCACCACGAAATCATAAAACAATCGCAGGGCAGTGATGTATGCACGCAAGGTGTGGGGTTGACGGCGTTGCTTCTCAGGCAGCAGGTGGTTACCTTCGAAGAAGGTCGATCTTAGTTTTCGGAGGGAACAGTCATCCCACAGCAGGCGGACATCCTCCATCCGCGAAGTTATTTCAAATAGAAGCCGTCCAACCCTTCGTTTATTTTCTTTGCTTGCCTTGACTGGCCGTGCACCGCCATCCATTGAGTACAAGTACTTGTAAAACTGCGACAAAGCCGGGATGTTGTCGACCTTGCCGTTGATGGAATTCCTCTGAATTATTTTTGGGGCGCTTATTTCGTCCATTTCTTGTTCTTCCTCTTCCTCGTCCTCCTCCTCGCTGGAGGATAAAGACACTTCTGTGTCTTCTGCTTCTCCTTTCAATGGAAGGTCATCCATTTTCATGGGCGACTTTCTTTTTAACAACTTGGCTGCTTTTTTTGATGCAGCACTATGCCTCTTGGCCTTTGCTTCATTGTTCATTCGAATGTACTCTGTGTCGGTCTTTTCCATCCCGTGCACCCTGACGAGGTGCCGGTCGACACGGACAACCACATTTCTGCATCCAGGTTGCGGACAGGGGACAGGGGGGGTCTTTTGTGTGGTCCCCAACTGGACGAGACGTTTCTGGCCGGACAGACGCTTTGCTTCCTGTGCGCCGAGTTTATGTTTTACCTTCAGGTGTGATAGGAGGACCTTGAAGGAACGCCCGCAAATGGGGCAGGGTTTCAGCCGTCTCTTATTCTATAAATAAATGTTTTCAATATATTACTACCTTATATGCGGCTATGGTGTTATCCTTCTAACTCCTAACTCCTATTGTGTTTACCATGGCATACCGGATAGCATTATAGGAAACAAACCTTAAGAGGTTTGGGGAACATAGTTTCTGAATGATCATCATCATTTCCTTCTTCATCTTGAATATCTGCCTCTCCTTCCTGCTCTTCCTCTTCTTCTTCCTTGAAAACACATAAAAATAATAACAATTAGAAAATGTAAAAGTTATTTCGCATCATTACTTGATTCGTCATTTTAAGCATACTAAATTAATAACTGACTCACCGGAGGGAGTTCGAAGTCCTCATCTTCCTCATCTGCATCCTCAGATGTGTTGACGGGCTTCTCGCCTGGGACCTCCTCATCTTGTGGGACCTCATCATCTTCAACCTCAATAACCTCAACCGTTGGCTTAGTGCCACGACCAGATCCTTTCACCAATATAGCCTTACGGGGCGAGAAATGTATAACCTGTAAATGGGAAGATGTTTAACAATTAATTTAAATCAGAATTGATGCGACTAAAATCTTCTTTCTTACCTTCGGCTCTTCCTCCAGGTCCTCTTTGACGTTTTTCTTGAAGAGAGCCTTGGACGCCTTGTCAAAACTAACATCGTTGACGGCCATATAAATTCTCGCCAGAGCTTCTGGAAACATTACTAAAATGATGTAGTCCACTGCCGATGATATCTGTTTCTTCACCAATCTCTTCATGAGGTAAGATGAGATGAACTCGTGCTGCCAGGTCACGAATCTGCCCATTCCGCAATTGAAGGTCATGTCCTTCCTATTCCTCCGAGAAAGGAACCAATCATGCTTAGCGCTCTTCACAGTTCCTTCCATTATTCCGATGAGGGTGGGCTTGATGTCGTCAAGCATCTGCCGTAGCTGGCCGTTGGTGAGAGCCGAGACTTGGTTGACACTGTCACCATCTGAGCTGTCGCTTGACCACATGCTAATATAAAGATGAAATATATTTTGTTGAATTAATATAAATCAATCTAGAGCCACCTTAAGTCAACCTTATAGCCACGCACACATAATCACAATTTAGATATATATATGTCACCTATATGTGTACCAATATTTGATGCCACTATAATGTGCTATTTTTGAAAAGCTTTTCAATGAGGTTATCGCTTTAAATATGGCTAGGTGGAAAACGCAGACATGCAGACACGGACATACGGTTTTCGCGTGATATCGAAAGTTATCAAGGGCGAGGTTGTGTTATAACACTCTTAATGCGTCTTAGTTTGTAGCTCGTTTAGTGTATTTCGCTTCTCTTTTCAGTTACAGAGGCAAATCTCGCCATGACTTCATAATTTCTGCATGTAAAGAAGCTCGATTTTCCTAGAAATTATTCTCTGTTGGGTTGATGTCATATTTACATGCAGAAAGCTATTATCTGCAGATGTGATGTCAAAATTACACAATATCAAGAATTATTTATAGGCTAGCAAAAATGGAAATTGTTTAGGAAATTCGTAATAATACAATTTATTAAACTGATATATAGTGTGATGACATAATGGATGGTTGCGCGAACGTTTACTGTTTTGAATTTTTTTTTTCTGTGTTGGTGTTGTGTACTCAGGTGAATAATATGTTTGCGATGTTACTCTGAGTGCATATCCACACCGGGCGAGCTTGAAAAATATGCCCGGCCACGGTGGGATTCGAACCTACGACCTTTGGAATACTAGCCCAATGCTCTTCCAACCGAGCTACGCGGTCAGGACGGTTCGAGTAAGTGATATTTCGGAACAGAATCTAGTATCCAAAGGTCGTAGGTTCGAATCCCACCGTGGTCGGGCATATTTTTCAAGCTCGCCCGGTGTGGATATGCACTCAGAGTAACATCGCAAACATATTATTCACCTGAGTACACAACACCAACACAGAAAAAAATTCATATTACTAGAA